AAACATATTTTACAAAAAGAATACAATCTGTGATTTTCTCTGTACATAAAGTCTTTTCATTAAAGAATTCCCTTCTAGACGTATGTTTTACTTGTTAAATACTGTTGCTTCACTTATACTTATTTTATACTCTGACTCGGTAACGCTTTCACTTATACTTGTAGTCGCGTATACCTAATGACGCTTATAATTATTCACGCTCTTACTCAGTAATACGATTCTTCTTCACTTGTACTGGATAACAACTTTACTCCACTTATACTTGATAGACGTTCTTACTTCACTTATTGTCGTCTCTGCTTCGTGATACACTTATACTTGGTGCACTTATACTTCACGATTCGATTATCCCACACTATACACTTATACTTCACGACTCGGATGTTCCACTGTACACTTATACTTCACAATTCGGATGTTCCTCTATACACTTATACTCTACGACTCGGATGTTCCACTGTACACTTATACTTCACAACTCGGATGTTTCACTGTATACTTATACTTCACAATATGATACCACTTGATACACACTCAAGCGTAGTTAAATGTATGCTTATGCTTGTATAGATGCATATAAATAATGATTGAAGGACTTAGGAAGGCTTGTCCGCCCAATTTCCTTTTCTTCGTTGAGATGTGGTCTGGTGGGATCGGATGTCCATCTGAAGGTCGTTCGATTCATTAGTTATATATTATGTACACGAGCATGGACATACGAGTTTTCTTCAGTCAATTCAGTTAAGAGTCTATACCTCTAGTCTACACTTACATTAGAAACCCACTCCCTCCTAGTAACACACTATCCTCTATTTGGGATGCATCTTCGGGACGCGGCCTTCTCCGTCGTCTAGTTGGTAACCAGAGTCTACTGTAGGGAGAGCGGGCATTGCGTGTATAGGCCTATACGGGATTGACAACCCCACACCCTGACTGCTAGCTACAGTCCACGGCCTACCAAGCCAAGGGGTGACAAATGTCACATTATATAGATGCTTGTAGGGCGTCTAGAACTCTAGTAAGTATGGTTACGAGTATCCTGGGTTGCCTTATAATTCATGGCATTAAGGTAACGGTATTTCGTCAGTAATTTACACTGTATGCTGATGTCACCTTTTTTAGAGTCACACTGTTTGACCTTGCTAGATGTGTCTCTCATTTGATACTGTCTGCGGTCTGTAGTCTCTGTTTTGACCTTGCGAGATGTACCTTTCATTTGGTATCGTCTGCGGGCTGTCTTCACTGTTATGACCTTGCAAGATGTACCTTTCATTTGGTATCGTCTTCGGTCTGCGTTCACTATTTTAGACCTTACTAGCTATACCTTTCATTTGGTACCTTCTGGGGTCTGTGTCTCTATTTGTGAGACTGAACCAGGCGTGACATTAGTTCGATACTCCCCTGGAGTCTATGGTTCTTTGCCTTAGTCAGCAATCCTCACTGCTGAGGCATATGATATTCCCTGATGTTGTTGCTTTCCTCAATAATCAAATTCAGTATTTTGATAATGATAGCAATTTAGGGAAAACTACTTTTACCCTACATCACTGACCAGTCTTGGTAGAAGGCTGCTTTTATTAAAGAAAATATAGGATTTTCTGGAAAGGACTCTAATACACTGAAATCTCTTAAACTATTACTTTCTTAAGTTAATTGAATGAAATGTCACTAAATGCTTATGAACTCACCAGCATTTGTAAAAATGCTGATACTCGCTTTTCAAATAACTTGTATTCTCAGGTCAGCAATTAGACAGGTACACCCTCGGAGCTGTTGATGAAGATGGCTTAGTATATCAATTCATAAAAGATATACAACCTATAAATACAAAAGGGATAAAACACACTGACCAAGAATTATACTTTAAAATATAACCATATTTTACCAAAGTATAATAACATCCGGAATCTAAGCACTCGAACACAAGTATCACAAGAGGAACAAGAATAAAAGTCTTCGGATGTTCAACACTACAGAAAAATATGGGCAGTTATGTAATCGTACGCTGGAATAAATGTAACCTGATTAACTACCTTTATTCGAGATGCGATGAACGTGTGCTCAGGAGTGATTGTGGTGTGCAGCAGGTCTGAAACTTACCAACTAGGATTTGTTAGAGCCAAACATAAAGTTAAAATACTATAGGAGTATTTTAGAGCGCTAAAAGATTCACACTAATCCCAAAATGACATTCAGAAGATAAGAAAACAAACAAGAATTAAAAAACCATAGGGGTATTTTAAGAATCATAAACAACCTTGCGTGAATAACTAAAAGGATCTTTATTGATATACCTACATCTACAGAGGGTATACTCCAAGGTTATATATATAAGGACCCCAT